TTTGCAATTGAAGATTAAGAAATGTATATATCACTTAATATAATTAATAATATATATCACGTTTTCGTATTTCGTAATAATATATATCACGAAATATAAATCTCTTTATTATAGTCATGTGTCTGACTTATAATTAAATTTACAATAAAATTAGACGAAAAGTTAAATAACAAATATTTAAAGGAAAACAATATTTTGATCTTGTTATGATTCCTGTGTAAATGTATTCTACTAAACGGATAATAAGATTATAATGAAAAAACAAACTATACAGTAGAGCAACAAAAATTATTTTGATTTCTAATGCATTACTGTAAAAATTATAATATATAACTATGACAAAATATGATTTTCCAAGAAAGTGCCATCTTCTGAGTATATTACGTTACTTCATATCATTTTTACATTAAAAATAGAATACAAATTTTTGTAAAGTACTTATTAACAAAGATGCAATTATGATTTTTATTTATTGTACATATATTTGAAGTGATTAATGAATCATAGTAATTACATGTTAATGACTTAAAAAAGTACAAACAAAATCTACATGAGTAGTACTTATATTCAATAAACTTTTAAGATTAGTTCAAGAACAAGATCAGAATGAGTAGTACTTACATTTAATAGTACTTATTTAATAAATATTTAAGGATAGTTCAAGAACGTAATTATTTTTCAAATTTTAAACAATTTCTTAAATAATAAATATTAGTACATATGTAATAAGACTTATCAAATGTGGGATTCTTGGCACATTTAATATGCTTCTTGGAATATTATAACAAAATATCTACATTTCTTTCTTAATGTCATTCGTGTTATTACGTTCTTCCAATGTTTCCTAACTTGGTATCTGTCTTCGGATTAGCTGTAAAACCCTGCATACAAACAATCACTTCGTTAATTCTCGTCTGAAGGTTCCTAATGTCTTGAATGTACAGAAGAGCAAGAATTTTAGCTGCATTCTCCACTGCAGGTTTTTTGAATTGAAAACCAGGATGGATGTTCATCACTGGGAACGGTTTGCCTCGAATAATTTTAGAATTTGGATTTTGCAGAGATGCTTTATTTAATCTTCTTTGTACCAGTATACTGCAGGCTTTCAATGTGACTAAATGATTCGGGTGTCGCGGAATGCGAAGTAGCTTTGCCACAGAATAGATTCCATTTTTAAACTGATCACTGTCAACTAATGGTTATAGAACAATCAGAATGATTCGGTATATTTATAAAAAGAAAGATAAAAATTAATTTCAATATAATATGTTTATATATTCATATATACTCACAGTCTAAATTATCCAGTGGATTCTTGAATATAAGGCAAGGTACCAATGTTCCTTGTTCCCTTTTCAGTTTGATTTTTCTCAAATCTAGTTCATCTATTTCATCAGCTAAAATATAATTTAATATTTATTTTGCATTTAGATATAAAATCTAAAATATATTATAATTTTGCAAAATCTTATTATACAGATAATAAAAATATATGTATTATTAAAAAACATATTTGAACATAATTCTTTAAAATCATATATTAAATATTCTTTTTAATTTTTAGTTTTATTTGTTAAAAACTATTTACCATTACTTTTAGTTTCCAACCAAATTGCATGTCCAATTAGCCACTCAAGTTGATCCATAGTGTTACCTGAAATTGGACATTTAAGATCCTTGCAATATTTAGCAAACGTTTGAAGCCAATTGTCACTACATAAATCACGTAGTGGTTGTCTATCTTGTATATCATATCGACGTATTTTTTGATCCTCTAACCAAAGTGCTACTTTACGAAAATGCTGTGTATCTGTAAAATTTTGATAATGAATTAATTGAACATGTTTTAATACCATAATAAAGTAGATACATATAAAGTGA